TGACCTTGGGGACAGAAGAGGATATTCTCATTTGAAGGAGAAAGCTCTAGATCGCATAAAGTGGAGGAACTGTTTTGGAAGAGACTGTGGACTTGTTGTCTGACAGATTACTGATGAATGAATGAATAGCAAGTTAAAAGAATAACTCATTTTCATAATAGAAGTATTCATCTGAACACAGATTCAGGAAATGTTTGTTACTAAAATTGTTCTGCCATACCTTATTTACAAAATACTGAGGACAAAGAGACATCAACAACTATTCAGATATGTAAAATTTTACATAACTGTGAAAAATAGTTTCTCAACCTGAGACAAACATACAGACTTCAAACAAATGAGAACAAATTATCAAACACTGTAAGGAAGATTAATTAATCAGGAACAGGGAAAAAATTGCAGCGAGGAACTTTATGTTATAGACCTATATTGTTCCCCAAGTACTGTTAGGGTAAAATCAATAAGGGTACAGTAAACTGTAGGACATGCATACAATATCTCTGTGGGGATACCTCCTTAAAAGAAGTGCACTTGGAAGACCAAGAGTAATACTAAATCAGATTTCAGGGAAAGCAGTGGGTTACATCAGAAAGCTCCAAAATGCTGTAACTGTATACTGTGTTCTTGTGGGTTGTGCAGGTACCAACATTCTAGAGAAAAATTCTCTTCCATCTTCTGGGTTACACCACCATGTAGTATGGTAGGTAACTACCATCAGACTTTTTGGAGGAACATGCTGTCTCCATCATCAGGGTAGAAACTCTACTTACCTACTTGTCTGAACTGTCAGATCTGTCTGCTTAGAAAAGATAATCACCCTACATACTTACCTACTGTCATAGCAGGCTGGATATAAGGCTGGCTGAGTGTTGCACCTGCTTCCTGGCATCTCAGGGAGACTCAATTGAACCTGAATGCCGGATCTCACGGAAACATGGCCGACAAACAGGCACAGCACGCTGTGAGAGATGTCCAGGGAGAGGAGTATGCTTATCAATACAACGTGTGCAAAAAACTTCTCCACATTTCCAGCAGTGGTACTGTAATGTAACAAACAATTTACATGTCCGGCGAACATTGTAAAGCCCAAAATATTCTTCAGTATGATTTTAAATCATAACAAGAAAATAAAGGCTTATTTTTCAGTTATTTTTTCTCTTTGCACCAGGGAAAATAACATTTGTGCCTTTTTGCTCAAGGCAAGAATGGTGAAGCCAACAGAGAAAGCAGTTGCTAGAGAATGGCTCTGCACACATGCCCATTGCTAGGCAACAGATTTGTAACACATAACAATGGAGTAATTGGAAAGTGGTGTTCTCTACGTGGTCCACGCAATAGCTACATGATGCAACAATAGAAGAACTGTTGGGAGAGGTGTTTTCTGTGCAGTTCATGCTGAGGTGGTATAAGCAGGACACGTCTAGAGTTTAGTTAGTTGTGAGACAGCTGCTGGCCAGTAAGGGGATGAAAATGGAAGCTGAGGAAGCTACAGCACTGGAACCTGTTACCAGGTGACAACTGGTGAAGATAAAGCAGACTGAGAAGACTTCATACATGCTGCAGTGAACTGCTGTGTGTGTGTGTATTAGCATTATATTTACTTATAGTTATGATCTGTAAATGCTCAATAAATCAAATTACCAATCCAAACCTGTCTATAGTCACTCCATCACATGACAGTATTAGAAAACATTAATTTAGGTTTTCCAACACATTTAATAAACACCAGCTGGAATATGTGGATTGGGGAAACAAAAAATATACCATTACAAGGTATTCTTAGTGATGAGAGGAGAGAATTTAAGGGAACAGGAACAACTGACAGTTATGGAATGCAAGAGGAGGGACCCTATAAAAACGGAAGAATCCCAAAAGTAATAGTTGTAATAAAAAAGAAAGAGAGGAAGGAGAAAAAAAGAAGAGGGAAATAAGGGGCTGTGGCATATGTACCTTATACAAACGTTAGGCATCAGAAGATCTAAGATATATTTTGTAAAAGTATGTAAGCGCAGACCATTTGTCCACCCACCCAGGAAGGTAAAGTGAGTGCCTGAAAGGAAAGAAGAGGACACATGATGGAAATATTCTCCAGAGAGATGGGAGGATGAACAAATACAATTTTAGATAAGGTTGACATATGATATTTCAAGGACTGGATTCATGGAGTGTGATAAAAAAAAATAAAAAACCTCACCTTCCTACTGAAGTGGTCAAAAGGTGTAGAACATACACATTCCCTAATATTCCGGAGTGTTTTCCAATCAAGGGCAACAGATCCCAATTCTGCTGCCAACTGATCCACGCTCAGAACATCTGCTGCATTACTACTCAACTTTGTGGAATCTCCTGGCAACCCTGCAATCAATATTTCATTCGCTGACCAATACCAGTGGTGACAACTTGCCCTATAATTTGGCCTGTGGTTACATGGAGACAGAGATTGGAGAAATTTAGATAATGAGATGGACACAACATGTAGTATGCATATGAAAACAATAAATGCATATAAAATTTCAGTCAGAAAATGTCAAGGGAAGAGACCACACCACAGTACATGGCCTGACAATATTTAAAAGGGGAAATGGAAAAGCTAACTGAATCAGACTCATGGAGTAGCTCTCTGGCCTTCTGCTATTCTCACTGTTCATTTTATTTATATACAATAAATTTATAAATCTTAGAGATATAAGTTAAAGATGTGAAGTGGATTAAACTGGCTAATGATAGGATCCAAAGGCTAGTATTTGTGAATGTAATGATAAAATGTTGGGGTCTGTAACATGGAGTTCTTGATCAGATGAATGAATATCAACAACTGAAGCTAAATTCTGTATTATGGATCACTTGAAAGTGACTGCTCATCATACTATAAATATGGCAATATGAACCAAAGGTTAACTGCTATATTATCTCCTTTAAAATCATATTTTTAGATCATATGCTGGCAGTATAATCATTTCATCCACTGTGGAGTGTATGTTACTACTAAAAATTTGGTTTGGTTAGGTTTTTAGTTTAGGTTATGGTCTGAACACTATAATGTGTTGAAGTCGCGAATATGTAGTGGAGTTGAGGCAACTACACTTGGTCACTGACTTACAACCTATGCGACTTACGACCACAAAAAAATGAAAAATAAAAGATGATTAAAACATAAGTTTTTAAAAATAAATTATAAAGCTGATAAAAAGATTAGAAAGGTTAAAAAATACTGTTAATAAACATATGGCTGACATACGACCAGCTCAACTTACGACCTGTCAGAACGGAAGTTGGTCGTAAGTCGACAACCAAGTGTATAAACTCTTTTCAACTTAACCAATTCTGATATCTTTAGGCTATCAGGTTAAATTCAGACTCTGAACAGGATGGTATAAGAGCAATGCTCAAGGCCTGTATTCAGAAGGTGCTGGGTTTGAATCTCAGCTGGGACATTCAATATCCTGACTAAGGTTCTCCATGGTTTTCTTCAGCACCTCCACGCAAATTCCAGAGAGTCCATATATTATCCCATGACCACTTCTTTCCAAATCCTATCCAATTTACCATTTGTCTATCACCCTATCAGTTCATGCAATATACTCTCTCAATTGACATTGTCATAAAATTCACAAGTTAAAAACCTTTCTGTGAATAGTTACCATTATTGGAGGCATGACTTATTTTAAGTTGTACCAAATTTCCTGGAGTTATACCATCTTCTCTGCACTTCTCATACAGATATTTGTTATCCAACATCATGCCTTTAATGTTGTCAATGGTGCCATCTATAGGCACAGCAGGAAAATTTCTTTTATTGTCTTTACAGTCAGCCAATTGCTGTTTCAAGAAGTTTATTCTCTGTAAAACGAAACACTAACACTGTAACCTTGAAATGGATTCGTTAATGGGCTTATATGGCAATGGCATAATAAAAACTTTCAAGAACACCTTTAGTAATATATGAAATTTGCATTAACATAGAACATATTAGACAAAGACTGAGAGACAAGTGAGATTATCTTTCCTTTAATAAACTAAGCATTTGGAGCAATATGACTGGAAGGAATTGAAGTACACAGACACAAAACAAACATAAAAAGTACATGGTGTTCAACTAAGACAGAAGCATGCAGGTCACTTGCTGACCCTGTGACTACTCTTTTCTCTGGGGTAGGAATGTTTCTCCTAATGGATCAGTAAATATTTTGCATTTATGCTAACATGAACAACAACGGCAGAGTTCAGTTTCATTAGCAAGGGATTAAGAATAGGTAATAAACACTAAAAATTATTCTGTATGTGTAACATTTTTGATCCACAATAACTGTAATGGTTCTAGCATATGAAAATGTATTTTGTTGTTTATTTAACCCACTGGCATACTATCTCATTATATATGTTCCAAATACAAAACTCAAAATTATCACAAAAATAGCACACAGTTTTCCTGGAGAGAAAGGTGCCAAAGGAGTAGGACCATGGAGACAAATAAAAAGATTATTATTTGAACTTCGACTATTCACTGATTTTAAGCAACACACTTCAAGTTCATTAAGTTTTGTACTTTATGAAATAAAGGTCCTGGTATGATGTACCACTGTATATCACCATAAAATAATATATGAGTGCCACATCTGCTGTTTAATTGGTGACTTCTTGCAATTTTCATCTGATGATTATTCAGCCATTAAACAAGAAGCTAATGCTACCCAAATGGACAGACATCCCATGCCATCAAAGTATGCCAAAGGATTTATCCCTCATGTAAGGGGTAAAGTTGTCCCTGTGCTTAACAAATAAGCATTCTGCCAAGAAGACATATGGGGGAGTGGATGTATAGATCCCTGTATTAAGTTCAGCACTAGTTGGATGTGAGTGGTCAGCTTCATGCCTCATCCACATTACACCACAGTACTCATTAGACAGGAGGCTGGGTGGGCCTCACAACTGGTCTGCATGACACGGAGAGAAGAATCTTGCCTCTAATGGGATTTGAACTCCAAACCCTCAGCTGTGCAGCCTGTGGCACATCACTATACTGACTGTGCTATCATGTACAGAACTATAAGGTTTATTTTGGACTCTATCCATCGTCTGGTATATATAAGACAAAATACCACATTTCGGAGACTGGATCTGTCTCCATCCTCAGGTGGATGGGGCAAGATAGACTTCAGTTGGGCCCATTAGATAGAGCTAGTCTCAATCACAGGACTCAATTTGTCTTACATATACCAGACGATGGATAGAGTCCAAAATAAACTTTATAGTTCTGCAAAGCATACACAGTCGTCAGAATCCTTTGAAGTCTATTTGTGCTATCCTGGTTGACTTTATCACTCATATTCCACATTAAATTACAATGGTGTTATGATTATTTAAAAAATGACCATAAGTCTGAGTTGCAATATAATGATTTGGATTTTCACAGCACTTAACAGAAACACACAAAGAAGATGGTATGACACAGAGATGCAGAGAATATATTTATACATATTACAACTGCATGGCAGAATAAGTTTACCTTTGTCAGCAGGCGTATATGGTCCTCAAGTGAAGAACTGTGATCACATGTAGCTAGCAACAAGTCTCCTAAAGGTTCTCGAGGATGGACACCGCTCTCAAAACGGCAGTACATCCCACGCCAGAACTTGATGTTCTGGGGTGCAATATTGGGCATAAGTATATCTGGGGTAGCTAATGTAGAATATAATGGATTGATATACTCATTCATGTGGTTTGCCATGTAACCCCAGAGGGAGAAAGTTCGCTCATTTAACCTGAAAATTAAATTACTGTTAATAACAACGCTCTCTTACTATACTCTTCAACTTTACTATACAGTCTTGTTCTTCACAGCTATTTACAAACCGACACAATATTACTTTACAAATACAGATCTTTCGTAAAGTATTACAGTCAATAATCAGCTAACTTGTTACGGACAGGGGCCTCCACATTATTTTTTTAATGTTGATAGCTGCAATTAACATTACAAATATAACCAATAAAATGTTTGACAGTGTAATGACAAACACCTGAAGACAAGAGTAGAGTCAACTTCAAATACATTGTGTTAGACAATGAGCATAGACAAACATAACTACAGTGTACATACACACCTAAGGTCAATTCGATCCTTCTCACAGTTGCCGATGAAAGTACCAAACTGACATGACTGAACATGGTCATGCAATGTGAGTAAAAACCTTTCATTAAACTGGAAGGTGGCTGGAAATTGTTGTGTTAATTGCCAGATGCAGTCAATGAACTGTGTGAATACTGGTGACACCTCCTTTGGGTCCCCTGCCACGTGACCACATCGCTCACTGAACTTGTGGCCAAATGCCAGCCAGTCCTTCTCTATCAGAGCCTGTGGAACAAACATGATTACACTTACTCAAGTTGTGACCTGAATCTTTATTCTCTTATGTTTGTGCACATGCACAGCAATCTGTCAGCAAATGGCGCAGTAAGATGCTCCTACACCTAAGTCCCACACTATGATGGCAAATCTTGATGTATTCTAGACCTCAGTAATAGACAGGTGATGATATTCATGTTCCTGCAATGTTAACCCTAAGGAAAGATCCCATGATGCATCATGAGACTAGGTAAATCCTTGAACCAGTTTCAACTTGGTGCCCTGTAATGAACTGAAGTTCTGAATATCTGTTCCACAGCCACTCAGTTTACTGACTGAGATCATCTCTAGACACATAATATTTCCAAAACCTTACTAACCTTATAATCTCCACTATGTATTTTACTGGCTGCTTATAACTTAAATGATATCAAATATGAAATAACAAATGTACCTGAAATCCTTGTATGGTTCTATAGTAAGGGTCCAGGAAGAGGCTTCCCAGAGAGCACACTTGTGTAGTACGGTCCCACCCGTCTGAACAGTGTACCACTACACTTGTTTCCTTTTCATCAACAGCCTGTGCTATGAACCACGATGTCTCTAGAATGGATTTGATGTGTCGAAGCCAACCACTTGACTCCAAACCTCCCAGAAAATTACTCATGGAGGGAGATTTCAGCTCACAAGCTGCAAGTAAGAATCAGATTTTGTATACACCAAACAATCCTCCAGTACGGATTTGTCCCACATAAATATGAAAGTAAATGCAAACAATTATATGCCAAATGCAGGAAGTTCGACTGTACTTGGTCTGCCAGCACACTATAGTAGCACATAAAGTTTGCTAAATGCCTAGCTTTATGCTATTATTTTAAAAATGGTGGGCTCTAGATGTGCTGGTACGAAAGTGTTAACAGTAGCAAGCGAAACGATTCTTGGTATGAATACACCACTGGTCACCACCCATATAGCTTCCTGTTTCATAGGGATAAACATAACCACGAACACACAATTTCCACATGGAAAGTTCAAGATATGTTCAAAATGAAAACATGACAACAGCATAAAAGTTTGAGGTTAGGTTTGACAATTTTCAGATAACTGAAATTTACACTGATGGACAGTATCAGACTGGTAAATTGTGTACAGTCTGCTCACATTTTGTGTGAGGATGCTTTCCTGAATATGTAACATAATTCATGCCAAGTTTTCAGCATAAAGCGAGACTTCATTAATATTATTTATACCAAACTATATTTGAGACATTTACCAGACTACATGGTGTCACAACCCAGAAAATAGAGCTCTTCATAGTTGGTATTTCAGTCACAGCTCTTATTATCTTCATTATTAATGTCAATATTGTTCACAGTACTGTAGTGAATCAAAATAAGGTTAGATTTAGATGAGTTTATCAATTTAAAACACTCAACTGAAATAGAGTTTCTGTCCTCAAAAAACGTATAAATACGGAATTTTCAGTATATGAAAAAACAGCATACCTTTCTCCTCAGTAATATGTATTATTAAAGAAAATACATTCTACTCACTTTCAATCAACTTTGCTAAGCTGCTACGCATTACATGAATGTTTTCAATGCCAAGGAAGTGAAACTTGATATTTTCATAGAAGTTTTCATTCTCATAACCTTTCCCAGTAGCACGGTTTGCCATGGCATTTATCTAGGAAATAAAAAAACATTTTTGGGTCTGTGACCTTAAGACTGATGAAGAAAAATGTATTAGTACACAATACGTCTTTGCTATGGATCCAATTGTTTGGCTCATGATGAGCTATGTCCACTGCCTGGATCTAATGAGATCCCAATGAATAAGTATCTTTGCCATCTACCTGAAGATGCAGACAGGCAGCGTCAGGAATATCATATTATTTTCTCTAGTTAAACAATATCCAAAGAAAAGACTAATATGAACATTGATGCTGTCAATGGGTTTTAAGAATCCTTTGTTAAACTTCAATCACACAAATACTTTGCCACAAGATGTAGGCTTACTGAAGTTAACAGTTTCATAAATTGCAATATTCATGCATCTTGAAAATGATGCAATTACGGTATATATCTTGCTTATCAATGTGATGAAGCAGTAACTCACCCGAGGCCGGGTGTCCACAACATACATGAAACTATTATCCGGATTGGTCCTCAGAACACAATTTAACATCTGTTCATCCTCCAAACATCGCGCACTGAACCCTGAAAGGGGCTGGCTGCAACGACATATTGCTGCCTGTGTAGGATAATGGTACAGAGCTTATTAAAACACATTATGTCCTAGCTACATTTTATTGTGACAAGTGTAATGACATATCATCAAAGAAATGACCTTGGGTAATCCTTAAAATACAGAAACAAGAATAAACTGTGACCAACAAGTATGGAGCAGGAAGATAATAACTTAATCTTTATGAGATTTGAGATTCTCAAAGTGTTAAATATTAAGCACCCAGTCTTTGAGTTGTGATGCCATGTAGATTGGTAGATGGGTACAAAGGTTTCGGAGAAATCGACTTCCTTTATCTTCAGGGCAGAAAAATTAACCCTGAAGATGGAGAGAGCAGGTTACTCTAAAACACTGCTACCCATCTATCAAACTGCATATCACATGAAAGAAGACCATGATCCAAACTAAACCCTTCTCTATTATTGTGTTACATAAAAACATCTGTTTTGACTAAATGATGCAGCTGAAATAGCAGCCCGGTGTCCAGAAGTAGTCGGTTAGTAGCAGAGTCGTAAAGTCATTAGGTCTCAAATTATAGCTACGTACAAACACAGAAATTACTGACCTAAAAGTTTAAGATGGTGATGATGATGATGATGCATGAGCATGATGATTTTGGTATATAACTATTAAGATGCCTTGTTAATTAGTATGATTTAATTTCTTCCACAGTTACATGCAAATTCTTTACTTATATTAGTACCAATCTCCTAAATCAATTGTAATTGGTGCATAATGTCATAAATGTTTCATTAAACTGTAGCCTGGCTTGAAATTGCAGCTGGGTACTAGTTCTTAAAATCTCAAATAGTAGCTGGGCTATTATGGACATTTTTAGCATTAAAATTACATCAATTTCAGATTATTGTAAGCAGTATTTCTCCTATTACAGTTCTTACATAAATTTTAGAAAATATATAATTTTGGACAGCTGCACAACAAATAATCAAAAAGAAACAAAATAGACACTACTGTAACAACATCAAATTATATCTTTTCATAACTAACATACAACAGGATTCATACCAAAAAGGTTATAAATTTTAGAGTTTAGAGTTTAAGAGACCATTTAATTCATTTGTTTTAAACATTACCTTATTTCTGTGAAGGTAAGACAGAACTGGAAGTCTGCCTCATCAAATTATATCTTTTCATAACTAACATACAACAGGATTCATACCAAAAAGGTTATAAATTTTAGAGTTTAGAGTTTAAGAGACCATTTAATTCATTTGTTTTAAACATTACCTTATTTCTGTGAAGGTAAGACAGAACTGGAAGTCTGCCTCATCAAATTATATCTTTTCATAACTAACATACAACAGGATTCATACCAAAAAGGTTATAAATTTTAGAGTTTAGAGTTTAAGAGACCATTTAATTCATTTGTTTTAAACATTACCTTATTTCTGTGAAGGTAAGACAGAACTGGAAGTCTGCCTCATCAAATTATATCTTTTCATAACTAACATACAACAGGATTCATACCAAAAAGGTTATAAATTTTAGAGTTTAGAGTTTAAGAGACCATTTAATTCATTTGTTTTAAACATTACCTTATTTCTGTGAAGGTAAGACAGAACTGGAAGTCTGCCTTTGCTTCGGAAGCGGGAACTGCCAAGAAGCACAGTAGTTGAAGCTGACGAAGGGACATACAAATATCTTGGATATGTGTCGCACAACTGGTCAAAAAAGCCATAAGCATTAAAATTGAGATGAAATACAACACTTAAACTGAAGAGGATTGTACTAACAATAAAAGCTGCAACTTTAAACTGTATAAAGTATCTGCATACATTAAGAAGCATCAGGTGGTCAATTCATTTTTAGATCACCGTAACAAAACGATAAAATTTCTAATTGAATACAGTGTATCAACACTGGCAAAATTATCACTTGGATAAGAATTCAAGTGTATCAAAACAGTCACTATGAAGAGGTTAGGACTGGAGAAAAAGCAAATCTGAATTCTGAACGCCTCCTACTTCAGGCCCTGTACAGACCCAAATAAACGAATCCTGAATATGAAAATAAATATACCAGCACAATACCTGAATGAAAACAATACATTATGCAATACTCCTAGAAGTAACAATATAAAATGTTAGATAAGTACGATTGATGCTTCTTTAGTATATTTCTAATTATAAGGCTTACATTACATTTTGTAAAAATCACATTACCCTCTGCTTGCAACAAATCCTTTCAACAATTAACTTTCTTCCTGCAGTGTAAGTTTTACGTTCTCATGCCAGTGACTATGAAGATTCCCAACTTCTGGGCTTTGACAGCATGTAATCTGATAAACCATCCTACACATTTCACAGGAAAGCGGAGCCTCAGTCTTTAGGACAGAACAGTGAAGCTGGCAATGATCCACAACATTCACATTCCATAAAATAATAAATCTCTTCTTGTTTCTCTAAATCTTCATACTTGTGCAAATTTAGTGCCTAACACTGGATAATTTGCTAGCATACAGACACTTTCTTATCATTAAGACCTTCTATCCACACTAACAGCCACCTCTCCATTATGACCATGGTTGCTTCTCATTGTCTGCTCACATGTGCAAAGACACTAGTGTTGCTAGAAGGGCACATTCTTTGCAGCATCTGCAATTTATGCTTTATCCTTACCATCACTGTTGAGTAGCCCATTGAATTGAATTGAATTTATTTGCATTCCATAGATCCTAAGTAGGTTAATACCTCTGGATATAGAACAAGTCAAAATAATACCTACTGGTACAAGGAATTTTATCTTAAACTAATACAGCTTAATTCTACATTATTCTCTATTTACATTGAGGTATTCGTCTACAGAGTAGAAGGAATGAGCATGCAGATATTTCTTTAGCTCTGATTTAAAATGTTTAGTATCATTACTCAAGTTTTTGATACTTTGTGGGAGACTATTGTACACTTTTATGCCAGAAAAGTAGACTCCTTTTTGATATAGTGATAAGTTTGATGAAAGTGGGCAGTGCTGGCAGCATGCTCATGTGGATCCATTGTCTGAATTATCTCCAACTGTGTGACTAAGGAAACAGACTCAGTGACTTATTTGCAATATGCTGATCAGCAGCACTATTTCTTGATCATTTTCGAGACATGTCAGATTTTTTGAAGAAACAGTTCTCCAGGAAACACAACTGTGCTATATAAGTGTGTTATGAAGGCAGTGATCATGAAACAAAGACTGACACAAAGCTTTCATCAAGCAAAGAGGGCATGGTAGCCACATGACATAAGGGAAAAAAGGCCTATCTGTATGTCTATGATAGTTCTGAAACCCTTATAACAACTTACTCTTAGCCCACTACAAAGTGGTCTGCATCTGAGAAAGGTGATAAAATGAAATAGCAGGCATGATAAAATAAACCCAATGAACATTTTCAAATACATATTCTATTTGATCAACAACATACTGTAACGTGTTTGCAATCCAGAAGAGTCACTTCTATGGAAACGCTAGAACAGATCGTTGTATAGGAAGTAACAATAGCGACACTGTAGTCCCAACAGTGAGCCGTTGTGTCAAGAACACTGAATCTCCACGGTTATGATGAATACGCGAAGCGTTCCCACAGAGACAAGACAATAACAATGGGTCATTGCGTAGGAATCACGGAACCAACAAAGCAACGTTTCCACTGCTATAACAGAGGGTTCATTTGCATAGCAGCGGCCGAGGGGATAAATAGCCCAGCTTCGGCGAGAAGAGAGTCTTTATCTGCCGCAGAAGAGAGTCTGCTCTAAACCGCCAGAGAAGGCAGTCCAGTATCGCCGAGATATTGCAAGCAGTATTTCTAACACTGCAGGTGGTTATGATTGTAAGGTGTGGGCGAGTGGAATAAATTCGCTATATCAAATACCATGGCGTAAATTTATTTGTAGCGTGACACACAACACGCAACAATACTTTTGAGGCACCAGCGAGGTTGTGTAAAGTGTTGTTACATGAGGTATTAGTTGTACTACCTTCTGACTTCTATACTGATAACAATGAAATTGGTAATAGAAACTCTGTTCTGGTGTTAGCAGCTCCTTTCTTCTATGTAATACATACCTCATAATCTTTATTAAGTAAAGTAAGACTCCATTGATCACTAGGAACTCTCATACGCTGATATTCCGATTGCAGGTCAAAAAAGTTCCAGCCAGCTGGTTTAGGAATGTCCTCAGTACTTGATGTGTAGTGAAAGCAATACAGGTCTTCAATGTGTACTGTTGAAGAAAATTTATATTCTAAATTAACATAACATTTACAGTACTAAAATGAATTCTAGTTGTTGGGACATACTTAGGTTTGTGACAATGGTATAATACTTGTCAAGGACACTGTTTAGTGTTTGAAAGCACAACATTCCGAAGACTGATTCTGTCTGGGGTCAACTCAGCCTCTAATAGAAATTAGTACCAGGAATCTTCCTGGGAGTAAAGGGCAGCTGGCACATAAAGCTGACAACCTCACTGCCATCTGTGAGCTGACTGTCTCAAAAATGTGGGAGCCTTGAAGTCTCACAATCCCATGGGCCTTCATAGCCTGTTACAGGGACAGCTTTATCTTTTTTACCTTTTATTATTTTACCTCTCTTACACCCACCTTCCTTCCTCTTTAACTTTTTCCATTTTTCACCATTACCAAAACAGCACCAGCCTCCACCTTTCAGGAAAACTTATGTCCCCACTGGCTCACCCATAGCCCTTCCCCGTATCAAGGATCTTTTTTCCACACCTGGCTTACCTGGAGGTAAAGCTTCATGTATTCACAATCTGAATACCAGATAGGAGGTGAGAGTCAGTTTCATACGCCAGACACTTTTCCCCCAGAAAAGAGCCCCAGGACCCTCTGGATTGTTAGTTGGCACAGTGGTGATCTGGATATCAAAACCTGCTACCCAGCTTGCAGCCAGTCAGTTTATTGGCTGACCTATCCCACCTTTCTACCAAATGAGGTTACCACTAGGTACAAAACGAACAGACACACTGGAAAACTTCACATACAGCAACCCACATGTTCCCTCTGAGTGAAAAAAAACATGAAAATTTGATGCTGGACTTCATTTTAAAGAACTGAGAGTCAAAATGACAAACATTAATATGCAGGATTTAAGGTTCTCACAGTGTTGTTTCTGAAGAGTTATATTTTCTGGAATACAACGCCATGCATTCTGTTGAAAGTCAATTGACGTTTTGGAGGACATCACCTCCATATTCAGGGTTGAAGAATAAGCTGAGCAAGAAACCAGCATAAAAGCAGACGACATATTCCTCTGAAACATCGGTTGATTTTCAATGGACTACATGGTGTTATACCCCAGACAACAGAACTCTTCACAAAAATTAAAAATTTTATCTGAAAACATATTCCCAACCTAACTACATGCAAGAATGCTAACGTTGTCACACCTGGTTGGGCCAGCTGCTGGAGTGTCACAAACACTTCATGGCAGTCCCGTTCCTTTGGAATCACAAATGTTACAGACAGGAATGTCTTACACCTTATCTGAAGTGGAGAGCCTGTTGTCGTCAATGGTAATTTCTCAACGCTTGCTATATGCATGTGAAGAATCTGGAATACATAATATTATTGTATAATATGATTGTTTCATTGAAACATACTTCTATAGAATAAAATGCATACAAAACAAAACACTGAAAGTAATGAACTATCATGTTTATTTCTTTTTATGATTACAATTACAAATGTCTCATTACAGTAAAGCTCTGTACAATGAATTTCATTAAAACTCACTTCATTTATCTAAATGAGTTATGAGAATTCACACTTTGACATAGTCTGAAGAGTGACATCCAATGGTACATACCCATGTTTCCTTCTTGCCATCAGGATCTACAAATATAAGATGTGTTGCAGTAAGGTACAAGGTTCCTATTGATGGTTTTCGGGCATTGTAGCGGTCCAGCATTCGCACATTCTCTACCTGCAAGAAACAAGCCATACCAGTTCTTTATCTGACTGCAAGTAACTATCATCCACACTAACGTGGTTCACTAATTCATGCTGACAGTACATTATTAATATGTCAATCACCAACTGCTGCAAATCTGTTAAACTAATGACAAAGAATCGTATGACCTAAGGAAGCTTTTGCATTTGTTTAAAGTAATTATTATGCTTCTGATAAATTGGCATATTCCTACTACTTACTATCTGGTTAACAACATTATGACAAGATTATGGGTCTTCTGGGCTGTGACACTCTCTAGTCCTGCATGGAGACACCAATGTTTCCATGGAAACACACTGACTCCACCTTCAGGGTTTAAGTGTGTAGGACGAACTGGTTCAGTTACATATGCAGAATCCAAGGAAGGTGGTTACTAAAACTTCAACCCTGAAGATAAAGGCAGGATGTTCCTTTGAAATGTCGATATCCACCTATAAGACTACATGGTGTCAACCCGGGAGACCAGTCTTAACAATCACTGCCATGAAAACCTTAACAGTTATAACACTGTCATTTACAAAAGATATACAGTGCCAAATATGAAGTGGTAGGATGATTAGAAATGGCAAGTCTGAAGGATGTGGACATGGCTGATTCTGAAATACCATCTTAAGAGTTAGTTGAGGGACCACTGCACATCATCATGGAAGACTTAAGGACAGACAATCTTACAATAAACAATCAAACTGGAGGCCTTCCAGATATGAAGCACGAATGCTAACCAACACACTGCTGCGCTCTATTAACAAAACCACATTAAACTCTGGAACACACATTTGTTCTTTCACATTGATTCAATTTAAAATAAATTAAACTGCTTTCCTTCATAAAACTACTATTTTATTAAATAGTGTTATTCTTTATATGAGTTATTTTTCTTTAATAGGACTCTTGCTTCAGAACTAATTCAGACCATGTTCTGAATAACCAGACAGTGAATAAGAACTAACCTGGCAACTGTCAAAATCGGATGAAAGACTGTGAAGTATATTTGAAAGGAGAATCTTGAGATATATCTTTTGGACCAGTGGAAGAAAATGGAATATGGAGAAAGAGGTATAACCATGAGCTATGCAAACTATTTAATGAACCAGACATTATTGGATTTATAAAGGTGAAAAGGCTTGAATGGGCTGGACACATAATATGTGCCGGCAAGAACAGAACCATCAAGAAAACGCTTAACAACAAACCAGAAGGAAATAGGAGAGTGGGAAGACCAAGGTTAAGATGGGAAGAATGTGTGTGGCAGGACATAAGAATTTTGGGTATAAAGAACTGGAGGAATGTAGCATCAAACAGAGAAGAATGGCAAGCAATCCTGAAGAAGGCCAGGGCTCACAAAGGGCTGTCGTGCCAGTGATCATGATGATGAATAAGAACTAATGAAATGTGGGCCTGTCTGTAACAGGGTCAGCATTTTGTGGCATGGAAACTGCATGCTGCTCATCCTGGATTTTTGTGCAACTCAAGACATTAACTTTAAGGGCTATTTAAGTAACTGATATTATTTTCTTAACACTCAGTGTAACTAACTTGCTAAAGACTGGATAACCATGCTTAATTTTAGAGAAATAAATAAGAAGGAACTCCTTATATCCACATTCAGAATGGATATTTTTACTTGTTTTAAATGACTGTATGTTTGTGAATGATAAGCTGAGAAAGGTCAGGAAGGACACAGTAATTAACTCTTTTAAGATGCTAAGTTGTCATTTTAATGGTGGAAATGATGAAAACTAGTAAAAATTTCAGTCAGAATAGCCAACATATGGGTTGAAATTCAAAGCATGAGAGTCTAGAAAGATGGAAAAATGGTCACCACTGTGCTATGTTAAACCAACTGCTCTGGAGTGTGAATCTCGCTTTATTCAAAACTGAGAATAGGGGTATTGTCTCCAGGGTACAGGAAGTGGGAAAGTGAAACTGATTAAGTATCTCTGTTTAGTGTCCACATGTGAATATCCATACAACTTTAGTTTATTGCATGTTCATGCTGGTGATAAGAGATGAAACAGGGAAGGACAGAAATAAGAGAGAGACAGAAACAGAGAGAGAAACTGTAGGGAGGGAGGGAAAGCGGGAGCAATGAAGGAAGAAAGGAAGAAAATATGTACAATGGAAAGTGGGAGGCAGGTGGAAAGAAAGAATGAAAAAGAAAATGATAGATGTAAAACAAGCAAAAAAAAAATAAAATAAAATAATAATTTTAAAGTCAAACTGAAGCTGTTTAAGTTATGCTAACAGAACCATAAATATTGTAGTGTTATGTGTATTAGAAATGTTTTCTAAATATATGTCACAGACCAATAGCAAAAGGTTCTGATGATGGCATATAACACTTAATATTTACTAGCTTTATGGACTTGATTTATTGTCAGGTATTCTAAATGGAACACAACACAGGTTTCATCACCTGAGCATATTGTGTTCTGGTTTAGAACACTGGACAAGAGATAACATTCAGAAACTAGAAATACTAAATATCACAGCACTTTTTAGAAATTTATGCATAATGACAAACTATCTGAGCAGAGAATCTATAGAATAATTACTTCTCAAGTGACTCTACTTAATGCACATGGTAAAGTTAAAGTTTTGAAAAGACAAATTTGTTAGCTTAGATGTATCTTTCTAATGTACTGACCATATGTGGAAGCACATACATTGTGAACAACTGATTTCTTTATTGCCAACAAGAACTGGCTTCAACTCCAGTAAAACTATGTCTGACTGTAGTCCAACATGAAAGCGGTGTCTCCAGTCTTTCAGGTCTCTATATTGATGCACTGGTGAGGCAAAAGCGGTGCAATGTGTCTGGTGCCAAATCCTGCCACATTAAGGTGTAATTGTCATCCACGTTTGCAAATAATTTGACTCTATTATAATCCATAAATTTAGTCATGCAAGCTTAACCTTACAGATTAAAATGTTGTGGGAACACCTGTACCCTGCAGTCAGGTATTTCAATACTCATCTGAACATCAGGGCAGAGCACACACTCTCCATGAAGTTCAATAAACATGTGTTTACAAGGACAATGTTTTGAATTTTTAAACTCTCAAAGCATATTCTTTTTCAAATGTTGGTAATAACTGTACAGTTACAGTGAATGTCAATTTTCAAACAGCTCCTTTACTTAATGGCACTTTATTAAATACATAAGTTACACAGTACTGAAGGGCGATTGGAATAGCTCAATTGTACAATGGGCTATGGGCTGGATGGCCAGTGTTCCAATTCTTGGAAGGGGCAAGAGATTGTTGTCTGCTCCACAGCATCCAGACTGGTTCTAGGGCCCACTCAACCTCCTATCTAATGGGTACCAGGGGCTCCTTCTTCAAGGGTAAAGTGGCTAGAATGTGTGAAGTTGACCACTCACCTCCATTTAGTGCTAAGGTCAAGAATGGTGGAGCTATACCTCCACTCCTCCAAATTTTCATGGCATAATGCTTAATTAATTATGCACAGGGACAACTTTTCCTTTTTTTATCTTCACATGGTACTGAATGACGGGTTGATTATATATGATGAATTGGAAAGGATGATCAAGGAAGAAGTTACATATTTTCTGTCAGAGTAGCGTGTCTTTGACCAGAGACTGCATTTCACGGATATCACTTTTTTAGGAATTGAAAATGTGAAACAGTGAGTTATACGGGTGTTACCCATAAAGATGTATATATTGCATATAAATTTCAGCCTTGAAGAAGTGAAATAATGATGACAAGAGCAGATGACTGACATTTATAATTTAATTAACTGTTCATAAGCTTTTCATCATATCATCATTACATATGATGGATACAGCCAAACAGCCTGATTATAACAAATTCATAAGTAGGATTAGTTTTTCTCACCATTGTACCAATCCTATTTTGCCATGTGAATATCAAAATTATGTGCTTACCACACTGTGCTAGGATAAGAAGGGGCTGGGATAGCTCTGTCAGTATAGCAACTAAACTAGGCTATGGGCTAGATAGCCAGAGGACTGAATTCGATTCCTAGCTGGGAAGACTTCTCTCTTCTCCACTGAGTCCACAGTGATCCTGGGACCCATTCAACCTCCTATCCAGTGTGTACCAAAGGCCCTTCTGCACAACGTCAAGTGACAGGAGTGTGAAGCTGACCACACACATTATCTGATTTCCAGGTTAACAATGCATGGAGCTATATCTCCATTTGTCCATATGTCTTTATGGTGTGGTGCTTAATTAAGTACAAAAATAACTTTGCTTAGAATGGGAATGTTTTCAAAACTGTTAACTTCCTAATGCATACAAATTAGTGTTTTCCCTCTAATATATTCAGCACCATCATCACTATAAACCTAACAACATGCGTGGAATATAATCATAACAATACAAACTAATATGCAGATAACCTTTTCCATAAACCAAGCAAAATATGTTTCTCCAAACAGGTTTTCTTGTCACCATCATAATGCAGCAATACTGTAATCATATCCATATCATCACTATAATGTGGGTGATCTTCGTGGTGTGACTTGTGTGACTTTGTGTATGTGTTTGATGACTAATTCCACATCCTGGGTTTGTTCCCTGTATGGATGTTTATGGAAAGTGGAGGATGTGTATGTATGTGTATGATGAGTCCTGTATCAATGTATTTTGATTTATGGGAAAATTGTATTAATTTTAAGTTTTTATAGTAATGCACTTTTTAAATTATGTTTAGTTACAATTGTAATAAGCTCTTGTCTTGTTTTTTTATATTGCCTATGTTAGTTAACTGGTGTGTGCTATTTTACTTGTGTGACTTATGTAATCTATTACATGTATACATCTATAATCAAATGGACTATTTCCACATCCTAGGATTTTGCCTGTATGGATATATGGAAAAAAAAATAAAGGAAATGAAATGAATTAATGAACTATTGCCATCTTAGGCTCTAGAGGTAACAGGACTATGGTAGCTTGATATATAGAACGAAAGTAAATCATAAA